TGTGCCCGTGTCCGTTATTTCTGACCAAGGTACGCTGTTTACCTCGCATTTCTGGAGGGCAGTTCAGCGTGAGTTGGGTACTCGGGTCGAGTTGAGCACCAACATTTCATCCTCAAACGGACGAACAATCCGAGCGTACTATTCAGATTTTGGAGGATATGCTCCGAACATGTGTTATCAACTTTGGAGGTTCGTGGGATCAGTTCTTGCCATTAGCAGAGTTTGCCTACAATAACAGCTATCAGTCGAGCATCCGGATGGCCCCCTATGAGGCATTATATGGTAGACAGTATCGATCGCCAGTTGGGTGGTTTGAGCCGGGAGAGGCTCGGTTGTTGGGTACATATTTGGTACAGGATGCCTTGGACAAGGTTAAGATCATTCAGGATAGGCTTCGTACAGCTCAGTCCAGGCAAAAGAGTTATGCCGACCGCAAGGTTCGTGATGTGGCATTCATGGTCGGAGAGTGAGTGTTGCTTCGGGTGTCGCCCATGAAGGGCGTGATGAGATTTGGTAAGAAGTGCAAGCTAAGCCCTAGATTCATCGGTCCTTTTGAGATTCTCGATCGAGTGGGAGAGGTGGCTTATAGACTTGCGTTGCCACCGAGTTTATCGGCACTGCATCCAGTGTTTCATGTGTCCATGCTTCGGAAGTATCACGGCGATCCATCCCACGTGTTAGACTTCAGCACTGTCCAGTTGGACAAGGACTTGACCTATGATGAGGAGCCGGTAGCCATTCTAGACCGGCAGGTTCGTCAGTTGAGATCGAAGAATTTCCCTTCAGTTCGTGTGCAGTGGAGAGGTTAGCCTGTTGAGGCAGCGACCTGGGAGTCCGAGTCCGATATGCGGAGCCGTTATCCTCATCTTTTCACCGACTCAGGTACTTTTCTATGTCCGTTCGAGGATGAAGGTTGTTTTAGAGGTGGAGAATGTGATGACCCTAAAGGTCATCTCTTGTTTTAGAAGTCAAAACTGTATTCTGAGGCCTTGAAAACCTCTTTTTGTCTCATCTCGGTTTGCGTGTACAGTCCGGGCACGTTTCCAAAAAGCTTTTATGTGAAATTTTAGAAAAATAATAAAATTGGCCTTTAAAATTGACTAAAGTTGACTTTGGTCAACATTCTTGGTAAACGGACCCGGACCCGTAATCCGACGGACCTGGACCCGTGATCCGACGGTCCCCTAGGGTCCGTAGTAAAAAATGGGACTTGGGCGTATGCACGGAATCGAATTTTTAAGGAAAATTGTTTGCTGGAAAATATAAAGGCTTTTTGAAATGAAATGATACGTGTTCTTGATGGTATCGGGTCCGTATGTTGGTTCCGGAGCCCGGTACAGGTTTAAAATAATAAATAAGTCGAATCTGTGAAATTAGGTAAGAATCGGAGTTGATTTGGTACAAATCGGACCTTTAGTTGAGAAAATGGAAATTTCAAAGTTCTTCAAGAATTTCATGAATTTGAGGTTAAATTCGTAGTTGTTGATGTTATTTTGATTATTTGATCGCACGAGCAAGTCCGTATGATATTTTTAGACTTGCGTGCATGTTTGGTTTGGAGCTCCGAGGGCTCGGGTGAATTTTGGATAGGCTACCGAGTGAATTTGGACTTAGGAGAATTGCTGGTATGTTGCAGCTGTGTAACAGGCCTCTGATCTCGCAATTGCGAGATCAGACTTCGCAAATGTAAAGTTCTCAGGCTTGGGAAATGCGACCCAGGCGTCGCAATTGCAAACCAAGCCTGGGCAGGCCATTCTCGCAAATACGATAATTTGGTCGCAAATGCGAAAGAGTCAGGGGTCGCAAATGTAAGGTAGCAGACTTTTGAAGGATTCGCAATTCCGAACCCATGATCGCAATTGCGATAACTACACCTGCTAAATGAGATTTCAGACGGGATTTTCTTTATTTTAATAACTTTTCAAAACCTAAACATCACATAGGTGCTTTTCTTGAAGAGAGTTCCTCCCCAAATCATAGGTAAACAACTTCTAACTTATTTTCTTCAATCTATAACATCTTTTTACATGATTTCACTTCAAAATCTAGGGTTTTTCGTGGGAAATTGGGTATTTTTGGGAAGAAGTTAGGATTTTTAAATTTTGGGGATTTGGACCTCAATTTGAGGTCCGATTTCAAAACTAATTACATACTTGAGTTTGTGAGTGAATGGTTGATCGGGTTTTGGTTCGAACTTCGGGTTTTGATCAAGTGGGCCCGCGGTCGATTTTTGACTTTTTGGAAAAAACAATGGGAAATCTATCCTCATGCATTAGAATTGGTTTATTTAGCATTTATTGATATCGTTAAGTAATTTGTGACTAGATACAAGCGAATTGGAAGTGGAACCGAGAGGTAAAGCAGTAGTACAAGCTTAATTTGCCCGTGAAATTGAGGTAAGTGTTTGACTTAACCTTAGCTTGAGGGAATAGGAGTTGTGGTCTATTTGCTATGTGTTTGTATCAAGTACGATGTATAGGTGTGGTGACGAGTATCTATACATTGGTGTCAAGCATGCCCGTGAGTCTTATACCATGATTGTTGTGACTCTATTATGTATCGGTCATGCTCAAATTGATGATTATTAATGTTGAACAAAGCTCATGAAAGTTTCTTTGGAATTGATTATTGTTGAGTATTGACTCAAGTTGAAGTTTCTTTCTGTAAAGAAATTGTTGAAACGAGATTGGTTAGAGCCGAATCCCTTGCCGGGACGTTTTGTTGATATTATTGATTTCCTTGGCGGGATATTATTGTTAATATTGTTGATTCCTTATCGGGATATTATTATCGATATTGTTGATTCCCTTGCCGGGACATATTATTTTTCTGTTGTTTGGGTGAGGAAGAGTGTAAAGCACGAAGGGTGATGTCGTGCATGATATTGTGAGGGAGTGCAAAGCACGAAGGGTGATGCCGTGCCGATATTATGAGTGTTAATGCACGAAGGGTGATGTCGTGCCATGATTTGAGAGTTAATGCACAAAGGGTGATGCTGTGCCGATATTGTGAGGAATAATGCACGAAGGGTGATGCCGTGCCATGATTATGTGAGGTAATGCACGAAGGGTGATGCCGTGCCGTTTCTGTTGATTCATATGGTGAGGACGAGAGTAAAAGCACGAAGGGTGATGTCGTGCACTTGTTACCGTTTCATTATTCTTGCTGATTTATATATGATGTTCATTATGCTTCCTTATTGGTTTATTATTAGAATCTGATATTCCCCGCAGCATGTCACTTCCCACCTTATTCTGTTGATTTATGTTATTATGTTTCTGCTTTTATATGATTTATCTGCATATATATATATGATTGTCGTGTCCTAGCCTCGTCACTACCTCGCCGAGGTTAGGCTCGACAGTTACTCAATACATGGGTTCGGTTGTACTGATACTACACTCTGCACTCTTTTGTGCAGATCGATACCGGACCCGTTGAGTAGTTGAGGTAGCTGCCTTCAGTCCAGGGAGACCAAGGTAGATCTGCTGGCGTCCACAGAGCCTAAAGTCCCCCTTCCCTGTTTAGCTTTTCTACTGTCTCTTTTCATTCCGAGAACAGTTGTACTTTTCTTTCTTGACTTGTATTTGTAGTAAAAATCTTAGTCGTTCGTGAATTTGTGATACCATATTTGTGGTAGACATGTATTGGAGTATTTGGATTTATTTTAACTCTTTGCGCTTTTCATTTGTTTAGCTATAGTTACTGGTTATAATTGTTTGGGTTGATTGTTAATATGTAGAACCTTAATAGTTGGCTTGCCTAGCTTTCACGAGTAGGCGCCATCACGACTCCCGATGGTAGAAAATCCGGGTCGTGACATCTTTTTGTTGAAAGTAAATACTTTTTCTATATTATAAAAAGAAAGTACTCGTTTTGTTGGAAAAAAAATACTTTTTTTTATTTCAAGAAAGAAAATTAAATTTTTAGCTTGTTGAAATGAAAGAAAATATTTTTTCTGCATCATGGAAGAAAGTACTCACTTTGTTGAAATGAAAGAAATACTTTTTTTACATCATAAAAAGAGAATACTCATTTTGTTGAAAAAAAATATATTCCTATTTCAGAAAAAGAAAATACTTAGTTTGTTGAAATGAAAGAAAATACTTTTTCTATATCATGAAAAGATGATTTGTTGAAATGAAATACATCATGAAAAAAAAAAAGTAATCATTTTGTTGAAATGAAAGAAAATACTTTTACTTATTCATGAAAAGAAAATACTAATTTTGTTGAAATAAAAAAAAAATACTTTACACAACATGAAAAGAAATTACTCTTAATAATAGTTCTATTTATCGTGGGTGGTGGGCGAGGTTAGGGTGTGTGTGAGGCGGGAGAGGGGGGCGAGGAGGAGGGGTTGTCCGGGGGGGGGGGGGTGAGTGGGTAGGGGTGGTTTGAAGGTGTGGTGGGTGGGGATGAAGAATATGGTAGAGAAGGTTGAAAAAGAATTTTAAATATTTTTCTCTTGTTAAGATAGGGAAAACATTTTCCTTTAATTGGAAGAATATGAGTTCACGAGGAAAATATTTTCCAGTATTTTACGTCAACCAAAAATGAAAAAATTAGAAAGCATTTTCCGCAACCTTAGTATCGAGTTCATCCGATCTCCTAACATCTTTTATGTGAACCATAATCATGTATGTAAAATTTCTTTAGAAAGTTTAATAAATAATAGATCCAAACCTATAACTTTTAATATGACAATGCGCTTAGTGTTAAAATTTTAAAGTTAAACACATTAAGTGGGCGTTTGGACATAAAAATTGTACAACTTCGAAAAAAATGGAAAAAAAATTAGAATGAAAATGTTATTTGAAAATTAGAACTGTATTTGACATAAATACAATTTAAAACTATTTTTAATTTTTTGTGAGTGATTTGAATTGAAAATTTTAAAAAATAATTTTTTGAAGTTTTTCAAATTTCCAAAAAATTTCGCAATGCAACTTCAAGTTAAATTTAAAAATTTTATGAAAAAATACTGATACCGACAAAAACTTAAAAAAAAAAAAATCGGAAAAAAAATAAAAAAAAATTTCTTATGGCCAAAGAGGCCCAAGGTTAAAACTTTAAATTTTGAATCCGCACGTGAAAGATGGACACCGGCATTGTAGCTGAATCACTTCACTCTTCAGGTGAAAGAAGATTACCCCTAGCCCCTTCCATTCTCCAAAATAACAAGATTACCACTAGTCCACTACATGTGTACTTAGCGTAAGCAATAAAGTATCAAATTGTCCTTAGATCTGACCTAAATCACAATATCGCCATCAGACTCCACCGTTAACTGCCATAACTAAAACAGATGATATTAGCACAACCTCTGTAAAATGAAGAATCAAAAGCACATCTTCCCCTTCCATGTAATTATAATCTTATCCATGCCCCTTTATGTCCTTTCACTCCGAATTGGACCCCACTACTCTGACCCGTGCAACCGTCCGCCGGCGGACCCACGAACATTACAAACCGATCAAATGACGGTACTAATCAACGGCTACTCCGAGCACCGTATCCCACTTCTCACTTCAATCGCCGCCACTTACGCCGCCGCATCCTCCGTCGTCGCCGTCGTCATTCTCTGGAGCAACCCCTCAACTCCGCCACAAACTCTAACATCTCTCTCCCAAAACCTCTCGTCCATCTCCGTCGCCGCCCCAATCACCATCCTCCGTCAGCCCTCTTCCAGTCTCAACCTCCGATTCCACCCCCAAAAAACTATCACCACGCGCGCCGTACTCATCTGCGACGACGACATCGAACCAGACCCGGAATCAATCAACTTCGCCTTCCAAATCTGGAGATCCGACCCGGATCAACTAATCGGGTACTTCGTCAGGTCCCACAACTACGACCTAACCCAAAAATCATGGATCTACACAATGGAAAGTAGCAAATACTCCATTGTGTTAACAAAATTCATGATTTTAAAAGCACAATACCTCCACAAATACACATGCAGTAAAGAATACGAAAAGTTGAGGGCAAAAGTAGAAGAAAAGAATAATTGCGAGGATATTTTAATGAATTTTGTGGTAGCGGAGGAGGTAAAAAGGGGGCCGATTTTAGTGGGAGCGAAGAAAGTGAGGGATTGGGGAGATGCAAGAAATGAAGGTGGAGAAATGGAGGAAAGAGATGTGGGGTTGAGTAGTAGAAAAAGGGAGCATAGAAAGAGAAGAGGAGAATGTATTGGTGAGTTTCATAGGTTATTGGGGAAGATGCCATTGAGGTATGGATATGGGAAGGTTGTTGATTCTGTTGGAGAACAGGGGCTATGTGAGAAAGGTGGCAAGTTGGTGTATTGTGATAGGCAAATTTTTTAATAGAAATTAAAGTTGAGTTCGAGTTTTAATTTTTCATACTTGTTTTTAATGTTGCTTTACAATACGAAAATACCTATTTAAAATTTAAAATTACTTTATAACATGTCAAATTAACCTTATACTATTGCTTTATACTTATATCATACTTTCCAAGAGAAATTTATTTACGTTCAAGGAACAAAGTGTACTTTTCTTGGAAAGATCGAAATGTATTGATATATTCTAGTAGCCTAGCTAATTATTGACCTATGCGTGTCGACGCAGAATTGAAATTTGAAGTTTATGAATTTTAAATTTGGTATCGAATTCATAGTTCGTTTTAGTTATTGAATTCACAAATAAATATTTATAGAATACATATTTAACGAATTTTCTAATATAATGGAGTATATGATCTAAGCAAATGTATGCGGGAGCACAATTCATCTATACCTGTGAAAGAACAAAGAAATTTGAAATACTTAAAATAGTGAAGAAAAGATTTATAAATACAGGGAATGAAAAGTTAAGGAAACAAGAGTACAGAGAATTATCACACTACATTTTCCATTGGAAATCCAGATTATGCTAATATTACTAAATATGGATAAAATGTGATGATGATAACCTAAAAACTTAAACCATACTTAACCCAAGATAACTTTCCTATCCCCATAAACTAAACCAAGGTTTTTAGATAGTGAAGCTTGTATTTTCTTTAATCTAATAGGAGTAACTTAAAAGTAACTTGTGCTTTTTCTCAGAAGTTTTGGGGTACTTGGACTCCCATTTGAAAGAGATCAAGGTGTTCCAAACAGCTCAATTTCTTTATCAGAAACCTGAGATTGCATTTTCTTTGAGATTGAGGCGTAGTTATTGTTGTTGGTGGTGGTAGTGTTGTTGTTGTTGTTATCCCGGGATGGTTATCATTATCTCTTCAACCAAATGACCCCAAACAGTACTTGCGGACTGAAAGTTCAGTTTAAGCTAGAAATACATCATAGTAAAGCGTCAAAATCTGGAGAAGGGACTTTATATGGGGGAAAGCTAACAGGGGATCTGGTGTACAGGAAGCTGTTTGTGTATTGGCAAGAAATGCTGTTGTTCAATCATACGCCTGCTTTAATTAGAGCACAAGCAAAAAATATGCTACCCCTTTTGAATACTATCTAGCATCTACAAATATTATATGAGGTTTACTCAAGTCTATCCACAAATAGATTGAGAAGACTTCTGCATTGCAGACTGAATAGCCATACTTTCTAACCACACTTACCCCCTTTTTTGGGCTGGGGGAGGGAGTTGAGGAGGCTTCTTTATTCTTTTATTGGTTGAGACTTAACTACATCAAGGCTTGGACTTATTCTCTTCTTGTGCGTAGAAGGATTCATAAGTTGCCACACTGGTTTTTGAATCTGGTAGTTCCAGTTCTTCGCTGAACCCCATTGTCATTTTCAAGAAGTCTCCCTTGTGCAACTGTTTCCATTCCTACAAAGCATTTCCATAAGCCAACAGAAAACATTAGGGCCTTGCTTCGGCTACAGGACTTACAGTTAAGAAAGGAAGCAACTTCAACTTGATGGAAACTACTTCCATTGGAGGTGCTCTTGCTTATATATACCAAGCACCTCCTCCGGTTCTAACCAGGACTCTAGAACAAATAACCAAAGATATGGGCTCCTAAATATTGTTCGATCTCCCAATTTTTTGATTCATTAAACAACAACAACTACGCCTCAATCGCAAGAAGCCGTGGTAGGCTACATAAATCCTCACTTTCCGTTCACTCAAGTGACATATAAATAAAAGATCCCTCATTGAAGCTATGGCATACGCCACGACAATCAACAATGAAGTTGCTTCATTTGATGGAGAAAACTATGAATATTTCCAAGTTCAAATAAGAACTCTGTTTATATTTTAAAGCTGTTGGGGAATAACTAATCAAGCCTTCTTGGAACAAAAGATGTTGAAACTCTAGCACAATGCACAAATGAAAGCAGAAAGCAGCACAATGAAAACATGAGTAATGCTAGAGCATTGTTGTTTATCCAGTAAGGATAAAGTAAACTTGCTTTTCTAGAATATTGGGTGCAGATATAAAGAAGCATAACAAAGACTACACATCAAGGATATTACAGATTCTATCTCTATTAAAGTACAAAAGATGGAGTTAATTGTTAAATGTGAAGAACAAATATCGATTTAAGCTGGAAAACAAACTTTACCAATCGACTTCCAATGTCTATGGAGTTTAATGGAGAAACTTCTCAACGACTTGATATTCAACCTTTAAATGTCTCAAGATTCTTCAGATTTTATAAATACCCAAAGTAATAAAAACACAAGTTTGCTCAAAACTGTCATCTGAATAGAGCTCTAGCATCTTTTCCCTAAGTTTCCTTCATGTTGATTCCTTTTCGGTTTGATGCATGAACCAGAGCTTCACTAGTCTTACCGTTACTGAGTAGAACAATTGTCGTTCTAGAGCTCAGACTATCCTACTGTACGCAAATGCAGAGACATGTTAGGTTCCTAGTCTAGGATAGGCGGAGACATGTTGGTTATATGCTTCTAAATCTTCGACCAAATCCCACGACCTGTGTTGGGCTTAAATCAGGCTACCAAAAAATAGATATAACCCTTGCAACATGATACATTTTCTAGATGCACAGTCCAATCAAAATGAAAAGAGAGGAGGATAGGACTGGAGAAAAAAGTATATTCCTCTTGGAATCTTCGTATCTTTGTCCAACAAGCAATTAAGAGAGGCACAGATATATAAGATCTCACGTTTACCTCAAAGTCCCATTCCCCAAATAAATTTGGATCTTTCTTGTCAACCCAAACATATGTTTCAGCCTGCAATGTCTTGGAACTATCCTGCAAAGTGAAGACAAACTATACAAACGGAATACAATTGCATAGTTAAAACTAAACTGAATTGTCTCACTAAATTTATGCCAAAACCATACAAACTAGACTGATTCTTAACAAATCAATGTAGACTAATTCTATTGGAAATAACATAAGTTTCAACTCCCCTTGTAGTAGCACTCCTGAAAACTAAATTCTGACCGATGAGGAAGGTGAAGGGTATAAAAGCTCTAAATTAAGTAGCAGAGCATTATATAGGTTACACCTGTATAAATGCAAGTACTCAAGCGAGAGTAGAATTCGCCGCACTAAGGAAACTTAATAAAGTGATATCTGATATCCTCCTTAGTAATTTATCTTTTGCCTCAATAAATCCGAGGCAGTAACCATCTCCAGGAATAGTTCAGTAGATCCAATTAAAACAGGAACATTTGAACTCTTAAAGTGATCTGACTCAATAAAAACAGGAACATTTGAACTCTTAAGGTGATCCGACTCAATAAAAACAGGAACATTTGAACTCTTAAAGTGATCCGACTCATGCTCAATATCATGCTTGAGCCATGAAAAGAATAATCCAAATGCAACAATTTTTAAAAACTTTAGTGTATCGATACCATTAGGGAAACATCAACAGTCGTCCTTTCATACTCAATGTCCTCAAATATGTCCAGGATATTTAATTCAGGAACAGTGATATCCAAAAGAACCTGCAGTTTTATTAGAACAAGCATATTTAGAAGATCTGAGGTATAGGTCCAATTTTTCATAAGATCTCAATGACAAAGAACTGCATTAGTAGTTTGTTATCACTTCTAGTATTAACGTTTGCAGCTATCGTGCTTGTAATGATAATAATTTTGGTGATTCACTAAGCATGTCTAAAACAGCTCTTAAGAATTACATAATACAGAGCACAGGCATTGTAAATGCTCTGAAGTACAAAGTCGGATGGTTCAAAAGACCTTCTTGTCAATGCTCTACAACAATAGACCACAAAAAGAAAAGGAAGCTCTACAAAAAAAATGTTGAAAGGTTCAACAAACCTTCCCAGTAACTTTCTTGTTTTCTACGGGTAGAATGGCAGGATAAACACGCCCTTTAATGCTAAACCTGTGGCTACACCAGAATAACAGAATCAGTGGTTACTGATTACCCCTAACAAGATACTAGAAAAGTATATCCCTCAATCAACTATAGAAACAGAAAAGGTAAACACAAATTTGTTAAAATCCTACTAGTGGGATTTGAGGATTATCAACAGGGAAACACAACTTGATAATGCATACAACCAAAACCAAAACAAATCTCATAACCAAGCATCTCTTTAGTTTCCTGCTTAGTCGTGTTGCTACACATTAGATCTGGTATTTGCCAGGAATCTTTTTAATTAGGAGTCTTTTCAGTTTGTAGAGTTTGTATGTCAATAGAAAACATAGAGAACTCTTAATTTGTCTTAAAATATATTATAGAAAACTAGAATTACCCATATCCAAATGGAGCGGATGAATACTCAGATTCATACAGCCAAGCTCAACTAGTTTGAAGAATACTATGCTGAAGGTATTCAGTTGCATGAAATTTCATACAATAGCACGGTTCTAAACTCGTGGATAATGAGTCCACCGCTCTACTCATCTCCACTTAAATACTGGACTTTTGTCTGATGCAGGATTCAGTGGGTGTTCAAACTTGAAAGAAGGAAAAAAAATTCCCCGATAAAGGGTGTTCAATATATGTTATATGCCTCTAAAATCTAATATTTTACCTTACCTATATATACAGTGTAATTTTTTGACGAAGGGTGGTCAATTGACCACCCTTAGAAGAGCATAGCTTCGCCCCTGGCAGGATTCAAACCTTTGACGTACGACCTAATCCACACATCACGTGCTAGCTCTTACCACTAGACCAAAGCCCTTGGGCTAATAATATCACTTATTTATGACTGAAATATTAAAGGTAGTTCAACTGAACTTGGCATTTTTTACTGTGAATATAGATATTACATGTGAAAAAGTAATAAAATTAGAAGAAAAAAATATTAAATTTTAAACTCATCTCCCAAATGTGTATTTATTTGATGTAGTGTTAAGAACTTAAATGTTAAACTCTTTAAATTTAAGTCCCGATTCCACCTCTGAGTCAGAACACGTCGAAATAAGAATCCATAACCTCCAAAAATTTCAGGTTAGACCAAGAATTAGATTCCACAAATTTATACTATGTTCACTTTTAATTTTCTCAAAAAATTGTGTCAATCAGCCATACCCATAAATAAATAAATAAAAACATATTCAAGCTTCATCTTCTTCGTACAAACGGAACCGCAAATAAAAAACGTAAAAGTATAATATAAAGATCGATGGCTAATGAGTAATAATAACAGAATTTTATCCTTTCATTGCGGAGAGAAATTAAAATAGAAAAAGAAAAGAGGACTGACTAGTTGTGGAGAATAGCAGGATTAGAGGGAGGGACGCGTTTGAGGAGTGCATGAACGACGTCGTCAGCTAATAGGCTGCCATACACGAACACATTGAACACCGACTGAGAATTAGCAGTAGACGCCATTAGCAGTTCCCGAGATGGAGGAAATTTTTAACTTATTTAACTTTCAATCATTGGTGAAAAAACAAAACTGTCAATATCCAATGAATAATTTATGAGTAAGCAATTGAAGCTTATGTCTCTAGGGTTTTCATACAAAACGGAAAAATCCAATCAAACCGAAAAACAAATGAAATCAATAAAGTTTGATTTGAAGATAAAAATATTTTTGGAGATACGTTTTCAAAACATATTTCCTAATTTTATTTTGGAAAAATATGTATATAATTCCCAAATTTTGGTATTTTGACCCAAAATCAGCAATTGGGGTGATTTTGGGATTTGTAATTTTGCCAAAATGTGGCCAAAATTTATGGCCAAACATGAGTTTTGAAAATAAATCCCAAATTTATTTGGGAAAACTCATGGCCAAACGGGGCCTAAAAATACAGATAATATTTTGGTTTTGGTTTTGAATTTTAAAACCAATCAGATTTGATTTGGTTTTAATTTTAAGCAAAAATTAATTAAAAAAAAATTAAACCGATTATTTATATATAATATCTTGTTTATTACGTTTATATTCTAGTTTGATTGATAGTTTTTTATTTTGCTAAGTCAGAGAAACTATTTCATATTGAAAGTAATTGGTCTTTAACTAAATCCTTAAATTCGATCACTATATAATTCAATTATCATCAAGATATCTTGTAAATGACCTATTTTCTTACACACTAATTTATTTGATAGTGTTATGCTGCAATATAGTCGACGTAATATATACTTGGCCGTGTATTATATTTAAGATTTTTTTTTATAAAGATGGATAAACCAAAAGATCGTCAAACCCGATAAAAATCAAACCAATAAAAAGTCGACTTACTTAATTAATTTGTTCTAATATTTGAAAAATCGACTTAATTGATTTGATTTTTTATTAGGGTAAAACCAATCCAAATCGAACTATGAATCGCTTACTTATGTGTTTGCTATTCTAAGCAACTAAGTTTTATGTTAATAATTTATATATGCAATAAATCTTTAAAGAAATATAAGACTTTCACCAAAGTGACCAAATTCGTACCTAACACACTAGTTCTACCCCTAATTGTAGTATAATTAGTCGATTAATCTAATAAATATATAAACTGATTAATCATATTCTTTCTTTTGAGTGCTCTTTTAATAATAGTTGTTAATTCTCTTGGAATTTTCCAGATGTCGTCATCCAAACAATAAAGCTGGCAAAATCGTGTAACAAAAAGTTACTACTACTATTTAATTTGCTTAATATGAATGTTTGACTCAAAAGTTTTTGAATAAATCAATCAAAGATAAAGAGGTAAATCCTAGTTAAAGATAATTAACTCTAGATCCGAGACGAATAATACGAGTAGAAAAACATAGCCGAGTATAAATATTGGGCGTGATTATAGCCAGATTTAATAGCATAAAGAAAGATGCATTGAATAACATTAAATGGCGACAAAATATAGATAAAGGAGAAGATTCACCCGATCTTGGGTGAGTCGGATCTTCTTTCATTTGATAAAGATGAATGATCGATAAAATACAAGACCCATTGGACCCTTTTTGGATCTGATGAAGGTATGGGATCATAGATCCTCTCCTCTCGAAAAAGAGGAGTGTTTACATATTTTTCTAGCAAGAGGTAGAGGGAGAGAGCCAGCCCCCCTTTTTGGGAAGTCCTCCCTTCCTCTTTATAAGGGGTATTCCTAGAAAAACATTAAAAGAAAAGGTACAATTAGAGGGAATATTCGGTAGAATATTCCTTTTGAGGATTCCAAAGCAGACAAGTTGTTTCATCACTGTCCGACCTTGGCCGGTCGGACCTTAGCTTTATTGATAACGGTCCGACCTCAGCTTTACTGATGACGGTCTGACCTTGGCTTTATTGGTGACGGTCCGACCTTGGCCTTATGTCTTCGCGTGCCGAATTTCTCTGGTCTAATTTTGACTCATACAGTTAGTCCCTCCGCTTATCGAGGTCGCCTCTTGGTCGAGCTCGGTGAGCGGACCATTAATCGTAGTTCGAGACATTCGGATGGGGAGGTCGACTAGTATGGGTTGCAGCTGAGGATGACGATGCCGAGGGAGAATACCTTGGAGATGGTGGTGAAGAGAGTGGCGATGGTGCCACCGAGTGAAAAGATAGCTGTCTTTTTTGACCATTGATCGGGGTCGTATGTAATCTACGACTATTTGCGCAGTGATTTCGTATAAAGAAGAATTTTTCGTTGTTATTCGCCGTGTACTTTTCTATGTTTTTGTTTTTCGCGACTTTGGTGCGAGGTAGATTCTCGCATAGCGAGTCCCGATCTTTCTTTCCCTTTGTATTTTCTGACGACACTTGGCCTTAGTGACATTTCGAATTCTCTTTGGCGAAGGCCCATGGCCTTAGAGGGTATTATTTCGATTTTATCGAAATATTGGCCCCTCATCGGTCGATCGAGGTCGAACTCTTCTTTTTAGTGGAGGCCCTTGGCCTTAACGGGTGTTATTTCGAACTTGTCGAAATATTAACCCGTCGTCGTTCGATCAAGGTCGTACTCTTCTTCTTTGGCGAAGGCTCCTGGCCATAAGGTCGATTTTGACGAGGCCGAATGTTGTTTCGGACGAGGCTGAATGTTGATTCGGATGGGGCCGAATGTTGTTTCGGACGGGGCCGATAGTTAATTCGGACGGGGCCGAACGTTGATTCGGACGAGGCCGGAGGTCGATTCGGACGAAGCCGAATGTTGATTCGGACGAGGCCGAAGGTTGATTCGGACGAGGCCGGATGTTGATTCGGACAGCCGAATTCTTCTATTTGGCGATGGCCCTTGGCCGTAGGGGTGTTATTTCGAGCTGGTCGAAATGTTAACCCGCCGTGGTTCGAACGAGGTCGAACTCTTCTTTTTTGGCGATGGCCCTTGGCCATAGGGGTGTTATTTCGAGCTAGTCGAAATGTTAACCCGTCGTGGTTCGAACGAGGTCGAACTCTTCTTTTTTGGCGATGGCCCTTGGCCGTAGGGGTGTTATTCGAACGAGGTCGAACTCTTCTTTTTTGGCGATGGCCCTTGGCCGTAGGGGTGTTATTTCGAGCTGGTCGAAATGTTAACCCGTCGTGGTTCGAACGAGGTCGAACTCTCTTTTTTTGGCGATGGCCCTTGGCCGTAGGGGTGTTATTTCAAGCTGGTCGAAATGTTAACCCGTCGTGGTTCGAACGAGGTCGAACTCTTCTTTTTTAGCGACGGCCCTTGGCCTTAAGGGTGTTATTTTGAGCTGGTCGAAATGTTAACCCGTCGTGGTTCGAACGAGGTCGAACTCTTCTTTTTTGGCGATGGCCCTTGGCCGTAGGGGTGTTATTTCGAGCTGGTCAAAATGTTAACCCATCGTGGTTCGAACGAGGTCGAACTCTTCTTTTTGGCGATGGCCCTTGGCCTTAAGGGGTGTTATTTCGAACTTATTGAAATGTTAACCCGTCGTCGTTCGATCAAGGTCGAACTCTTCTTTGATGGCGAAGGCCCTTAGCCTGAGTCCCAGTTCGAGCGAGGTCGAACTGTCAAACTTTGATGGCGAAGGCACTTAGCCTGAGTCCCAGTCCGAACGAGGTCGAACCGTCAAACTCCGATAGCGAAGGCACTTAGCTTGAGTCCCAGTTCGAGCGAGGTCGAACTGTCAAACTCTGATGGCGAAGGCACTTAGCCTGAGTCCCAGTTCGAGCGAGGTCGAACTGTCAAAATTTGATGGCGAAGGCACTTAGCCTGAGTCCCAGTTCGAGCGAGGTCGAACTGTCAAACTTTGATGGCGAAGGCACTTAGCCTTAATCCCAGTTCGAGCGAGTTCGAACTGCTAATCTTTGATGGCGAAGGCACATAGCCTGAGTCCCATTTCGAGCGAGGTCGAACTCTCAAACTTTGATGGCGAAGGCACTTAGCCTTAATCCCAGTTTGAGCGAGGTCGAACTGTCAAACTTTGATGGCGAAGGCACTTAGCCTTAATCCCAGTTCGAGCGAGTTCGAACTGCTAATCTTTGATGGCGAAGGCACATAGCCTGAGTCCCAGTTCAACTGTTGTTGAACTTAGTCCATTTTGATGGCGAAGGCGCATAGCCTAAGTCCTAGTTCAACTGTTGTTGAACTTAGTGGCGAAGGCGCATAGCCTGAGTCTTAGTTCAGCTGTTGTTGAACTTAGTCGATTTTGATGGCGAAGGCTCATGGCCTGAGTCCCAGTTCAACTGTTGTTGAACTTAGTCCATTTTGATGGCGAAGGCGCATAGCCTAAGTCCTAGTTCAACTGTTGTTGAACTTAGTGGCGAAGGCGCATAGCCTTGATTCAATGGCGATGGCGCAGCGCATAGCCTTGATTCAATGGCGAAGGCGCATAGCCTGAGTCCCAGTTCAACTGTTGTTGAACTTAGTCGATTTTGATGGCGAAGGCTCATGGCCTGAGTCCCAGTTCAGCTGTTGTTGAACTTAGTGGCGAAGTTGATGGCGAAGGTGCATGGCCTGAGTCCCAGTTCAGCTGTTGTTGAACTTAGTGGCGAAGGCGCATAGCCTTTATTCAATGGCGAAGGTGCATAGCCTGAGTCCCAGTTCAACTGTTGTTGAACTTAGTGGCGAAGGCGTATAGCCTGAGTCCCAGTTCAACTGTTGTTGAACTTAGTGGCGGAGGCGCATAGCCTTGATTCAATGGCGAAGGTGCATAGCCTGAGTCCCAGTTCAACTGTTGTTGAACTTAGTGGCGAAGGCGCATAGCCTTGATTCAATGGCGAAGGCGCATAGCCTGAGTCCCAGTTCGAACGAGGTCGAACTGTCAAACTTTGATGGCGAAGGCACTTAGCCTTAATCCCAGTTCGAGCGAGGTCGAACTGTTAAACTTTGATGGCGAAGGCACTTAGCCTTAAAAGGTTCCCTGGGGGAGTCCCAATTTGCTTAATTCTGCTTGCATTGGAGAATATGATGCGTTTCTCGGGTGACTGCCGCTATGTTTATTCCATTTAGAGAAATAGTTAGTTAAAACAATATAAAAGCATTTGTTACCTCAGTTTGATCGCGTTCCCTTCTCCGGTTATGCTTTCGGTGGTTGCTACCAATTTGGCAAGGCCGTCTATTTCGATGTTTTGTGCTCGGGGCACCTGGTCGAGTTGACACTCGTCAAACTCGG